AAAAAACAAAACTCAAGATATTCAATAAATTTGCATACAAATTTGCAACTTTTTAATTAGACTTTTTGTAAAAATTTAAAAAATGAAGTTTTGCAGCCCATTAAATTTTAGTTGATTTTTGGTATTGTGTTTACTAAGAGTTTCTCCATACAAACTATGTTCGACAATTCTTTTTATATGGAAGACACTGTCAGCAAAAAAAATGGCATAAAAATCAACGAAACTTTCTGGCAACTTCAGACTTGCACTTTATTAATTGGTACAAAAGGTATATGTATTTTCAAAATTTGTCTAACAGATCTGATTAGAAATTGTGATTTTGAGAGAAAATGTGAATTTGAGTACAAGATAACATTAAAATATCAGTCAAATTTTTCGTTGCTGTGGACTTGTTTCAAAACTTCTGACTTTTCCTTAATATAGTTGTAAAACTCTGTGCACGTCATTTTTAACGTATTTAGGTACATATGTATATCAATCATCAAGTATTGCTTGTGCAAAGTTCAACTATCTGAAGATGTAACTATTTTACAAATGAAACCGGTGCACTGAGAGAAAGAAGTTTAGAATTAAGAAAACGTGCTAAATTTAAAAAAGTACGCATATGAAAGAGCACCAACCCAACTCGTAATACATTTAGGTATACACATTTTATTATTCAGTCTAGAAATATTAAATTCAAACGGAAGCTTTTTCATAATTAAGTTAAAAAATATATATTTAAATTCCATGGTGCCTGTAATGGGATTTGAACCCTGACCCTCTGGAAATTAACAAATTGTGGCAAGTATCTTTCCGCACTCATCTACAGCCAGACAAGTAAATGTGCATTCAAATGCTGAGTTTGAATCAACACCACGCGTGCGTGGTATTAAAGCGTTGTTTTTAAATACGAACATTTTAGAACGATAATCAAATAAAAATATTCATGTTTACTATACGTTATTTCCCTCAGTGAATTCATAAAATTTTGGTTACTTTTGAACTTTTATTCAAATTTGTGCAATCAAATCGAAAACCGGGACATTTAAATGAAACCCGGGACACCGGGACAAAGTCTAAAACCGGGACATGTCCGGGAGAACCGGGACGTCTGGCAGCCCTAGATATGGGCCTTCGAAGTTCGAAATTGGACCTTTGGTAAAAAATTATTTTTAATTATTGTATGTAAACAACTAAAAAAGTAAAAATATAGACCTGTTCCGGCTTTTGCGCTTACTTAAACGGTATATAACTTTTTTTCTGTTCAAAATGTTTTGAAATATAAATCGTTTTAATTTTTCGAAGATCTGACCTTTGACCCCGTATAGCACCTGTAATATAAGTTTGCACCAAAAACTTACATACCGTTTAAATAAGAGCAAAAGCCGGAATACATCTATATTTTTACTTTTTTAGTTGTTTACATACAATAATAAAAATAATTTTTTACCAAAGGTCCAATTTCGAGCTTCGAAGGCCCAAATCTAGGTTTCGGAGGTTACCTTCGAAAAACAGAGAAATTACTTTTTTACTTATGAGTCAATCTCTTAAAAAAAAATGGTTTGGTCCAATACCCCAAAAAAAAAGTTGTTTTTGCCGTACAGTGTTACTTTCAATTCTTATTTTTTTTCACCAAAAATAGTGATTATTATCAAGCTTAATTTTTTCACTTAAAAATAATAAAAAAAAACTCAAAAAGTAACCTGACTTGATTTCCAATTTATTATCATAGAGAACGACGCCATAATAAAAGGGACAACCCTCAACATCCTCAGATCAAAATAGTGCATATATATTTATGAATAATCATTATATTTAAGTGGAAAAATATAAATCAATGATATATATTATCGAGCAAAAATATATCATAAAATAATCACCATTTTTGATCGAAACAATAAAAATCAGATAATACTAAAAACTGTTTAAAATTATTTTTTACACTTTTATCCCAGCTAAAACTTAAAGTGATAAGCCGTTGATATCAAATCGAAATCTCATAATGGTACATCCATTGTTTAGCGAGCTTAGCGTTCAGCGACTATTACACAGCCCCAAAAAAATATCATGTCATTTTGACAGGAATACTCCCCATGGGTTTTGGTGCCCTGAACACGAATCTCCATTTGCTCCATCGCGCAGGATTTTTTACTAACCTAAAAAATTTTGCAATAATATACGCCATGTTTTTGGCGTCAGGAAAAAGTCCTGATGTAATGGAGCATAACCGACTTCAGATTCGTGTTCATGGCACCAAAAACATCGGGGTAAGGTGTTCCTGTCAAAACTACACACATATTTTTTGTGGGGCTGTATTTTCTCATTAAATGGTCGGTGGAAGTCCAGCATTAGGGGTGCTAGAATGCGTACCTATTTTGAAAGTACAGTAAATAGAGAAAAATAACTCGAAATTTTAATTTTTGGGATTTTATCACAAAATTACATAACTTGCTTACATTAAATTCGTACTGTCGGTGAATATTTTACATTTACATACCTCTAAAAATATGTCTGCACAATCATGTGCCACGAGAACCAAGGAGCCAACGCGGTGTAAATTACACACCCAACTTAACGACATGAGAAGCAAGGTAACCATATGATGGACAAACATCTGCCAAAAATCCTTTCGCTTGACGTCAATAAATTGTGTTACAGTAAGAGACCAATAAAATGACATTGATATCATATAATACCACCAAATATCGCTGGAAATAGACTAACAGAAAAAAATAAATTGATTATTTAATATAAATGTGTTTAATAAAATTAAAAAATAACAAACAAGCTAAATTCCTTAACACAACGCAATGGGTAAAGTATACCGGGCCATGACAACAGGGTGTAATTCCATTTGAAATAGAAAAACAGCATACATTTTAAAGTGCCAAAATTATTACTATTTCAGTAATAACCTCTTTCGAAATGACTACATTTCATTGATCGGTTGAAAAATATCAAAAACTATGGAAACTTTTATTTCATACATAATTCCATTACACCAGTCACAGCTTTAAATATGCTTTAATATTTCTATGAAGACAATGGGCCTCATGCATAAAAAGTGAGCTTAAGCTCCGACTCGATTTTCAGTACAAATTCTTGAGCTTGAGCTCACCCCTTCAGTGCAAAAATTGAGTCTGAGCTTAAGCTCACTTTTTATGCATAAGGCCCAATATCTTCCTAAATTTTATTGAAAACGAAAACATATACATATTTACATAGCTCATATTTTTCAACAGAAAAACATCTTTCCCGAAAATTAAGTGTTTTGGTTTAAATTCATCTTTGAGTACAAAGGTAAAATAGAGTTCTTTCCAGTGTCCCACCAGTCACATGCATCCTGTCCACACGGCTACATCTGCTTCGCATACCTCTGCTCAGGCTGGCATCAAGTCAAACCCTGGGCCACAAACCCTCACCTGCTGTGTGTGCCAGAGACGACTACACCATAACTCCACCTCCGTCAAGTGCAACTCCTTTAACGGGTGGAGTCATCTCCGAGTTTGCTCAGGCCTCACGGCCCACAGGCAATGGACCACTTCATACGTGGACCCTTGCTGCTCCAACCGAGCTGCCTTCACGACACACCAGAGTCCGCCTGAGCAGCTCAACACAAACACTACCGCACCACAGTACAACCCTCAAAAAAAATTTGCGCCTTATATAAAGCTTATTTTATATGATCATAAGGTTTATAATTTAATGGCCTGAAATCTGTAAGGAAAGTCTGTTGTATGAAACATTCCTTATTCCACACCTGATTTCGCCCTGTGTATGTTATCAGGTCATAAGGTTTGCTCTCTTTCTCAGAGAGACACCCCTATGCCTAAGTCTTACAGTAAATATAAAAAAGGCTCATAATAATGGATTGTATGGAGTATAGTTACCTTATTATAAGGCTTAAAGTCCTTACATAAGACTTACCAAATCCCTTATAATAAGGCCTTATACTAGGTTTACATATAAGCAGATTATCCGCTACCAAGGAAAAGAGGTTTGTAAAGGTATTTTTAATAAACCATTAATAACCATAATATATACCTACATTGCTTAATATAGCAGAAAAAAGTGATTACAGTAGCACAGAGAAGAAACTAACTTTTCTTTGAGTTGTGACAATAACGATCACAACAAACTTAACAGCTAATAAGGCTGATAAAATCTTAAAATTTATGTTCCGTCTGATGGGAATTGAATCCTGACAGTCTTGGTAGCAACCAATTATATCAAGCATCTTTGCACACCCAGCTACGGCCATACATGTAAATGTGCTTTCAAATGTTGAGTTTGAATCAACACCACATTTCGCTGTTTATGTCATCAGTTCATAAGGTTTGCTGTCCCTCTCTGAGCGACACCCTTATGCCTAAGTCTTATACGTCATATAAAAAAGGCTTAAATATTTCCTTATAATAAGGCAGCACATGGATTATAATTACCTTATAGATCATATAAAATAAACGCTGCAAGCAGCGCCGCTAGTATGTTCCTTATTTCTTACAACTGCTTATATCATTTTTTGCTAAGAACATAATAGACAACACCACAGACCACACAACAGAGACAACCGTACCACCACCCTCAAGCAGTCGCCAATAACTCCCTGTTCCTCCGACAATCTGCTCGGTGTAACAGACCAGGATGTTCCGTAACGTGAGCAATACTTTCCTTGGCTGGTGTCTTTTTAGAACATGTTCAGGACTGCGCCTCACCCGTGATTGAACGATGACTGCGACGCCGTTCACCACCACCACAGGGCAGCAGTCTTTACAACAGCACACACAGCAAGTGGCGGGCAGGCAACACACCTCACTTACACCCCACATCCCAATAAGTTGTAACTTCGCCTTTGGTGTGAGCAAGCTTTGGTTAACTGTGAGGTCACTGTCCAATCCGACGAAGCGGGGCGACATAGTCGAAATCTCTTTCGGCGACTGCGCCTCGTCGGATCCGGAGCGATGCGCGAGCTATTTTAGCCGACAGTTCACAATGCATCCTCCGTCGGACAAAGCCAAGCGTCGAGTGACCAGAAGGCTACACAAACTGCCATCACCCAGTGCACCTCTTGCTTTCACCAGCGGTGAAGTGAGGGTAGCCATCGGGAAAACGAAAGCCTCCAAGGCCTTTGGACCCGACGGAATTTGCATGCTAATTCTGAAAAATCTGGAAAATGGGGGAAGTGGCTTCACTGCTTAAACCGGGGAGACCGTCCAACCAAGGAGAGTCCTATCGTCCGACTACTCTCCTTTCCCCAGTAGCAAAGACACTAGAGGCCCAACACAACATTGGACACTATAAACACCCAGACAACTTGTGGCCTTAACCGAACTTGCCGCTGTGAGAGAATAGTTCTAGTAGCGTTCAACCTGTCCAATGTGTTTGACACCGTCAATCACTCCACGCAACTAGAAGACAAACAGGCGTCCTCTCTCCCACAGGGATTCAAACGGTGGTCGGCGAATTATCTGAGTGGTCTACACTCGTCAGTAATTTTTAGAGAAAAATCGAGAAAACCCAGGAAGATAAAACAGGACCCCCAAGGTGGTGTCGTTTACCACTACTTTTATATTTCTGAGCTCCCTCAACCACCAGAGGGCGTCTCGATAGTCTCTTATGCTGACAATTGCTGGATAATGGCGTCTGGGAAGGGAATTGATGACTTATGCTCGAAAGTAAACGGTTATCTCTACGACCTTTCTCGCTTCTTCACTGCACGGAGCGTAAACCTCTCCCCTACAAAATCCTCAGCAACACTTTTCACCACCAGGACGAAGGAGGTCAGACTGCAACTGGGTATTCACGTCAATGACGAACTAATCCCGGCGGTGAATAACCCGAAAATCTTCGGACTAACCTTCGACAGTCTGCTCGTCTTCTCGGCGCATACAACCACAATTGTCAATAAAGTACAAAGACGCAACATTAGCCGGCCGGTTCTGAACTATGCAGCGCGTGTGTGGTTGTCGGGGACAAGTAGGACGCAGTGGATGAAGCTACAGACGAGCCAACACACTCCGGACTGCGAAAGGATGCCTTGTCATGTCGCCGCAACACTACGAGGCTCATATTAAAGAGCAAAACACAATGCTCTGCAAGCAATTCTTAGTAGAATGTCACCGACGTGGGCACCCGAACAGACACTTCATAAAGCCACCACTGGACCCGACAGCATACACAGGTCTTTAATGGCATTAACAGGGAGTAAGTCTCCAGTTATATAGACCCTCGACCTGTGAATGCCGTTCTGTGCACACAACCACCAGACGTGGACGAGACAGAGCTTCGTCTGCCTCGGGAGACTCGGACCCCGATAGCCCAACCTCGCTCGGGCTACTGCAGTAGGCTAAACTCGTACCTGAGCAGAGTAAACGCAGGTGTGCCAACGAATGCCCGGCATGCTGAGAGACACCCCACGACTCGAGACATCTCTTCGCATGCCCACTGAATCCCACTATACTAACGCCTTTGTCCTTATGGACAGACCCATTAGCGCACACAAGGGGTGGGTTTTGGGGTTCAAACCCCCCTAAAGCTAATAACCTCAAATACAAACTGTATCTTAAAGCTAAGAATCCAGCTCTCAAGGAAATTATAAGAAATATTTATTATAATTTCTGAAAAAGCTCGTTGCTTTTGCTGTAAATTTTCATGAGGAAATGAATATACGAGCATTTTTTTTTCTTGAAAGCTGCAAACTGATTTAAGAAATTTTGGTAGAAGAAAATTTCTTTTCCATTTCTCGTCCGTCGTTTTATATGAATTTTTCGTTTTTCTTGAGAGTTCAGTTAATTTTTTTCGGTATTCGAAATATTTAAAAAAATTAGAAATCGTGAAAAATCACCATCTCTATCGAAAGCCAGAAACCAGAAATCGAAAAAAGGAACATAAAAGTGCAAAAATTCATGGAATCAATAAATTTATTTTTACTGAGTCTTTTTTAATATTTTTTCTTAGGTACTTTTGAAAGTTGAGCGCATCTTGAGTTTATAGCACTTTTTATTAAACAAGTAGTTTTTAAGGAAAGAACACAACCGACTTCAATTTGTATATTCAAATTTAGGGGTACCGTTAATTTCTTCATGATCCAATCATCGGATCTCTAAACCAAATTACGGGACGAACCTTGAGGTACCACCTTTCTACAAAAAAATGATTATTGAAATCGGTTCACGTGGTCCAAAGTTACGTATTCCGGCGAATTGATAACCTCCCCTTTTTTTAAAGTCGGTTAAAAGTGTTTGAGTTTAATCTTATGTAAATAAAGTGCAGTTTATGAATTTTAAAACGTTTATTTATTTTTTACATACTGTACATAAAACTTGCATAAATATATTTTAAAGAGCGTATTATCTGAAGAAAATTTTCAGTATTTTCCGGTGATATATCTTCAGAAATATAAACCCCCCCTAAAATATATTCCTGGGTGCGCCCCTGGACAGACCCTATCGAAGCTGCACGCTTCTTGGGCTCCCGTTAGTAGACCTTGTCGACAGCGATTGAGGGACTAACCGGTATGGGCGGGGGTGTTGTAGCCGCTACAACAACAACAACAATAAATGATGTTTATGTATATAGAACTAAGAAATCGTTTCATATTTTTTAAAGCAATTTTATACATTAGTTGTTAAAAAATATCTTTGTTCCGATGACATAGTTATAATTCACAAATGATCACATTCTGGAGTAAAATGTCCCACCAGTCACAATGGAATGGCC